TAATTACTAATTGTTTGATTTTATTCACAATAAAAATTGAAACATACCCTAATGAAGTATTCTGGAAAAGAACCTGTTACTTTCCCACCTGGAAGCCATACCATGTTTTCCGAAGGATTTTCTTTAGCTAACATTTTGCCATCATGCAGTATTTTCCACATTGGGGTTAAATTTTCATTTGAATAACAACTGTTTAAAACTACTACAGAGTCCTTTGAATTATTTGCAAAACTAGCGTCTGAGACGACAGCATACGCGGATATAATTAAACCGTGAACCGTGGCATCGCATGGAATCATATTCAATTTTGTATGGGGGCTGATAAGTGCCGTACGCGTTAAACCAAGTGATGCAGTCAGAAATAAGCCAAAAGGACCATTCACATTATCCAGCCAACCGGGTACGGGCTCATCAACACTACTGACCACTTTACGCATGGAAGAAAAAAAAAGAAGTTAGCAACAAATCGCTTATATAAACTTTTGACTTAGAATGACCGATCTTACCCATAGCTACGCGATATACTAAAACGGGCAATTTATTCTTATAATCATTTACAAGATGTTCACTTAAACTTTTTGCAAATGTATAAGTGTTCGGGTGATTCGAACTATACTTTTTAAAAAGTATGTCCAAAGTTTTCTCATCAAATGTTTCAGCTAATTTAATGGTCGTACGCCAATCAGCAGAATTTGGAAGAATCTGTAAAAACACTGCAAGTCGAGTTTGTCGTGTAAGCTCGTATAATAGGAGGTACCTTTTCGTATATGCAGGGTTGATCAACATTCGAATATAAAGTGGAGACGTGTATGAAAGCCTTTAGCTTTGTCATCGTTTCGGCAATTTTTAAGACTTCATGAGTGCCACGTAAATTTACAAAAATGGATTCCTTGAGAGGGTTATCGAATCTTTTTAGAAAAACAAACAATGAGTTAGAAAGAAAAATTACGAACTTTATGGTTACTTAGGCGTTAAGCATTTACCTGACATTGGCAGCCGAATGAAAAATAATGGTAACATTTTCGATGCGTTTGAGGTCTTCACTGCTGATGCTTAAACCTAGCTCCCGGCAATCACCAGCAATAGCGTGGATTTTTTTAAAACTTTCCGGTTGCTCATCTCGTGCTCTCTGAAATATTGAAATATCTAAAAGTTCTTGAAGTCTCTCATCGGCTGTTTTATTCTTTTTTGAACGCAACAATATAAACATTTTCTTAAAGTTAGGAAACGAACGTAACAGTTTCTCTATCAGAGCTTTTCCTATAAACCCGGAGCCACCGGTTATAAATATTTCCTGATCTTTATAGAAATCCGTAATAGACATTTTTTTTAAATCGTCATTATTGACCGTGAAATCCTTTATATTTTTCATTATGTTCATGTCTTTTTTTAAATTAATTTTTTTATTAATTTATTTCTAATTCTTTTACACTTGTTTACAGCGAAAGAAGTCGGTGCGCACTAAGAAAATGCATGCAACTTCTCCTTTTTATATACTCGGTGCATTGCTTACTTATGCATTAGTCATAATGATTATACTAATCCATGTAATTGTAAATGCATTTATTTTACCTGAATAGATGAACGACCAAGGTAGGGGGACTGATAAGTCAGAAAACGAATATAATATGAAAGGTTCTTATGAGTTCCATAAAACATGCATTTGGGATAGGTACCGCGTCAATACATTCCAGCGGAAGAGCGAGGATGGTCGGACGAACATACAAATTGCAACTTGGCGCATGAACTTAACACCGAGCTTGAAATAGGCGAAGGCGAGAGCACAGTTTCCTTACCCATTGATTTATTAGTCTAGGCAAGGACCTATGTATGCCAAGAGTTTCTTCTTTCTTACATATTGGTAAAGCATGACGACAAATACGTGAACTGATAAATGGGATTTCGGTAATCTACCTCTAACTATCGTTGCTTCTTAGCGAAGCGTATAAAACCAGCAAAAATTTCCCTTGTCGCATAATAATGATAAATAAATTATAAAAAAAAAAAAAAAATTAATAATAAATGAAATGGAATTCATTTACTATATAATATGCTGTAGATCGTACTTACTTATGTACATATTTAAAAAATTTATAAAAAATTTTGAATTATATTTTTAATTATATCCGTTGTACTAATTGACGCTTTGACGCTAAATTAGTTTGCACTCGGCGATGAGTAGCCAAAAATTTGCATACGATGTTTGATATTTCATTATAACATACACGCGGAACAAATGCACACACGTCAATAAATATGTTTCCAATTTATTGTAAGCTGCGACATAAACTAACTTAATTTTATTTGTTATCATTAAAAAAACCTAAGCTTAGTTATTAAAAGTAAGTTTTCC